CAACTACAGAAGCAGGTCCAATAAATTCTTTCAGCAAATCACCCGATATAGCCAACATACTTGAATATAGTACAATAAAAACAAGAGGCCCACAGGCCTTATAGGTCACCTGAGCATTATGCAACAACTTTCCAGTTACAGTGTATTGAATTTGATTCATGTTTTAAGCCAGATGCTATATGGCATTCACAATTTTGAAAGGGCACCATTGATCATGATAACAATAAACTTAGCAGTTGCTTAGCTTGGTTACTGAATACCCATAAGCAGGGTAGGGGAACAAAAATGCACTCCAACTAATCAGTAATATTAATCAATAATCAGTAGTGCCCCTAACACTCTCACATAAACCCCTGACCCTAGGTTGCACAAATTTTTAAAAGGCACCCTTAAAATTGCCTATCAAAAAGTAAATAAATGTTTTATAAATACAAAGGACCAGATTTCAAACAATTAATTCATTTTCAGTATATAAGTAGAGCCCCCCACCCCTGACCCTGGGGCCTTGAAATTCACAATTCTGCAAGATTAGGGCCCTTGTTCATCATAACTATATAGGTAGTTCATCTGCTTCATACCCAGAGACAGAGAAGAAAATTTTCAAAGATTTAATGTACAATGTATTTTCACTATATAATCAATAGAGCCCCACCCTAATACCAGAACCCCAGACCCTGGGGCAATGAAATTCATAATTTTAGAAGAGGCATTCTTGCTCATCATAACTATGCACTTACTTAGTTTATTTAATACCTAGGAGCAGAGAAGAAGATTTTCAAAGAATTCATGTATTTTCACTATATAATCAATAACGCCCCCCCCCCCCCCACCACCAGAACCATTGACGCCGGGGCCATAAAATTCACAATTTTTGTAGAGGCACTCTTGCTCATCATAACTATGCACTTAGTTAGTTTATTTAATACCTAGGAGCAGAGAAGAAGATTTTCAAAGATTTCATGTATTTTCACCATATGATCAATAGAGCCCCCCCCCCAACACCATAACCCTTGACCCTGGGGCCATAAAATTCACAATTTTGGTTGAGGCACTGAGGTACTCTTGCTCATCATAACTATGCACTTAGTTAGTTTATTTAATACCCAGGAGCAGAGAAGAAGATTTTCAAAGAATTCATGTATTTTCACTATATAATCAATAGAGCCCCCCCCCAACACCAGAACCCTTGATGATAGGGCCATTAAATTCACAAATTTTGGTTGAGGCATACTTGCTCATCACAACTATGCACTTAGTTAGTTTATATAATACCTAGGAGCAAAGAAGAAGATTTTCAAGGAATTCACATATTTTCACTATATAATCAATAGAGCCCCCCCCCCACCCCCCCACACACACACCAGAACCCTTGACCCTGGGGCCATAAAATTCACAATCTTGGTTGAGGAACACTTGCTTATCATAACTATGTACTTAGTTAGTTTATTTAATACCTAGGAGCAGAGAAGAAGATTTTCAAAGAATTCATGTATTTTCACTTTATAAACAATAAAGTCCCCCCCCCCCACCAGAACCATTGACCCTGGGGCCATAAAATTCACAATTTTGGTAGAGGCACTCTTGCTCATCATAATTATTTACTTACTTGGTTTATTTAATACCCAGGGGCAGAGAAGAAGATTTTCAAAGAAATCATGTATTTTTACTATATAATCAATAGAGCCCCACCCTAACACCAGAACCCCTGACCCTGGGGCCATAAAATTCACAATTTTGGTAGAGGCACTCTTGCTCATCATAACTATGTACTTAGTTGGTTTATTTAATACCCAGAAGGAGAGAAGAAGATTTTCAAAGAAATAATGCATTTTCACTATATACTTATTTAGCCCCGCCCTAGCACTAGAACCCCTGACCCCAGGGCCATGAATTTCACAATTTTGGTAGAGGACTCAATGCTGATTACAATCATGCAAATAGTTTGACTGCTTGATGTCCAGGAGTAAAGAAGAAGATTTTTAAAGATTGCATTAATTTTAGTGGTTTTGGCCCCACCCCTCAGGCCCCAGGGGGGCAGGGATCATGAAATTCACAATTTTCGTTCCCCTTCACCCATAGATGCTTTTTGCCAAATTTGGTTGAAATTGGTTCAGTGGTTGCAGAGAAGAAGCTGAAAATGTTCAAATGTTAACACACGACACACGACACACAACACACGACACACGACGGACGACGACGGACGAAAACGGATAGCAATAGGTCACCTGAGTTTACTCAGGTGACCTAAAAAAATAGTATCTGGCTTGAACTTAAACATGGTACAGTGTATAATTAAATAAAGTAACTGCTTGCAAGATCTTTGTTTGGACTGACAAAATTATGAACTCAATTTAAATACTGTAGACATACTTTTTTCCACAGGGTCATAATTCCGCAGAATCTCAATTTTCTGTTCAATCCGCGGGTAGAAAATTACGCGGATTTTCTAGATTGTCACAGAATGCCTTACATTTATATTAAGTATGATTGGACAAATTTCCATGGAAAATTTGTGACCGCGTACATAGCGTAAATTAATACCACCAGGAAAAACGTACTTCTACAGTATCTGATATTCTTTACAAAATTTTCATGACTCTTTGTGACAAAAACTTGAATCTTGAAATCACAAAAGACTCATGAAAATAAATATGTAAATATGACTTCAGAATAAACATGAAGATGAATTCGTAAATTACTACCTGGTTATTTGGAAAAGGGGCTCGTGGGTTGCCTGGTTGTGGAAATGGGTGACTGAATGCTGGGGAGCTGATGCCTCCAATCTGTTGTGGAATAGGAATTGTCTGTGGTATCCCTCCATTAAATACAGGATTGGATATCTATTTCAGAGATCACAAAAAATGTTCTAAGTTTGCCTGTCAATCTAAGAATTTTTTCTACATATCCTCATCATACCTGCCATTAGTGTTAAAATAAAAGGCATTTCAAGCTTTTTTAACCTGGGGTAATAAGCAGGAAGTTAACATTTGTTCTCATTATATTATTCCACTATGCTTTATTACACCAAAACAACAACAACAACAACAACAACAAATGTAGAAAATGTCTGAAATTCAATAGTTGTCAGTAGTATAGAAATCTGTATTTTTAATGTTTCTCACCTTCTTTATACTTCTAGTTTATTACATATTCAAAAATTTGTCCTTTAATTCTTATTTTTTTGAATGAAAAGAAAAGAGCCATGACTATTCTTTCAATAGATTAACATAATGATCAATATACATCTGATCAATACAGAAATTTCCAGAACTTTGTCATAGCTCTTGGTAATACTTAATGAATTTCAAAAACATCAAGACAGATGACTGCTTTCACGGTGCTCCAAATTGCAAAAAGAATGGTCATATTTTCAACCAAAAAATTATTTGGCAACTAAAATTTAACTAGGTGAACAAGTGAATTTTGAAAAGTGAATGTGATTTTTGTGATCAGGGTCAAGATATCCTTTTTCTGTTTCCAAGATTCTCTATCATGACAATGTTTGAAAAATATTCTTAATGAACTTGGTAAAGATTTGCAAGGACCTAGATTATGTAATGTTATTGAAAGATTTTATTTTGAAAACAGCAAATCAAAATTATTTGATCATAGGACATACCAAAACAACATCGGGCAAATACAAGTATGACAGTCTAACTCATCTGACAATAATTCCAACATTCAATAATTTCTTAAATCTCATTAACAGAAAAGGGGAATTTTTACTTTTATAATGGCATTAAGTGACTAAAGTGAGTGTGTGGTATTTAAAATTTCAGTGGCATCACACTGTTTGACCAAGATGCAGATACATGTCTTTTAACAGTTTTCTTAGTTTCTGAAAAAATGAACAATCACTTAAAATATACATTTTAGTCTTACAGTATGTTATTGATAAAACTGAAAAGGCATGTAGATTGTAATTGGTTATTTAAGTTAGAATAATAACTGTGTCTTGGACCACCATCGTTCAAATACCACCCATAAATCCTTAATGTATGGGGAAAAATATATAAAGGTGTGTTAAATTAATCATATTCATAAGAACTTATCTGGTGATTGTGGATAACTTTTAACCAAAAATTTAAATCATATGAACATGATGAAGGGAGAATTCAAAACTTTTCTCAACTTTTTGCACTCCCTTAAAATTCACAAACCATGTTGACATTTAGAACTTTCTTGATAATTCATAGAAAATATACTGAATAAGAGTTATTGCCTGAGTCTGTTTTAGCTATATTGCGAATACGTGGAACACATTCTGTTACAGAAGGCCAGGTGTAGGACACTGTCATTTTCATGATTAAAAACCTTTATCTAGTTATACATACAAGTGGTTGAGATTGTCCTGGATACACTGTGTGGTGAGAAAATGTGCTTGTTTCATCAAATTCATCTTCAAAATCTCCTGTGATGCCTGACTCATCTAATGCAGCTGATAATATGTCTGTGAAATCGTTCTGAAAAAAAAACTATACATGTAAAACTGTTTCATTCATCATTAATATTCCATTCTTCTTTAAGTTCATCTTTTTTTTTCAAATGCTATCCTTTATCTCAATTATGACGCAGAAAATGAGCATTACCATGATTACTATTGTTGGATATTACTTTTCTTTGACTATTTAAACAGCCAATGTCATGTACTTTTACTTTCATGAAAATATTTACAGTAAACATGTTTAGTTAAGGAGTGGGCAAGGGAAATCCTCTACCCCTTCACCTTTCGTCTCCCTTCCTTTCCCTCCCTCTCTCCAACTTTCTCTTTACCTGTCCCTTCTTACTTATGATCATAAACGAGGAAGGTTGACCGGTGAGAAAAATTAAAAATAATTTTCTAGCTTTTATTGTGGACATATTGTGATTAAATCTCTGAATAACCCACAGTAAATTAATGGATTTTGACATAAAATTTACTTAAAAGGAAATTCTCCTCTTACATTCGATTCATTTGCCATCACTAGCAAGAGAAGTTCGCAGACCGTTTCAACGCATTTTCGCAACCACCATCATATAAATTTCCCAGAATTCCCTCTCTGACGTGTGCGTCGTAATCGTAACTTCTCGGGTATTTACACGATATCGTGAAAAAGAATGAGATATTCCGACAGGTGCGATATAGAATCAAAGTACGGGATGTACTCCCTGTAGTAACAAACTCGACAGTAGAAGTGGTTTTTTGGTTAATAAAGTGGTTTTTTAGTTAATTTTTATCAAGATTCATTTTCCTTTTTTCAACAGTTATTTCATAACATGCTAGTAGTTTTCCGATCCGAAATATAAGTCAATATAAGTCAAATTTCTCAGATTCCTTCATTATTTAACTATCAGGAGACACATACTCTTTATCAATTGTTTATTCCCGCTTGGCAAATAAACCCATCTTATTCAATATAACCTGCATTTTGGTCACTAAAACTTTTTTGAATATAAAGAATAGGAATTTTATTTATTACATTAAAACCAGCTTCATTAAATGAATTGCTTTTTTACAACTCTTTTAATAAAGGGGGAGGGTGAAATTTTTATCCAATGAAATCAGACTTTTAAACATTGTTAAACATCGTTTAGTTTTCACATATGCAAAGGAATGGACGTATGAACCTCAAATCTTTCCATATGTTTCTTATGCAAAATTAAATGCATAATATTGATATTTAGTATATCTAAATAATTAATTTACCATCCAAATTACTCTACAACAGTTGTAGAGTAGATTTCGGATCGGAAACCCTTCGCCAGCGAAGATGGTCATTTGAAATCGGTAAAATAGTCTAGCATTTCGTTTATTTCTGTGAAAAAAAAAAATAAAAAATAAAAAAAATTTAAAATTATAGAATTTTCTCTCTTTGTTTTTCCAGAAAGTTACGTTTTTTGAAAATTCACACCAATATCTATATAAATATAAAATATCATTCAAAGTTGTTGACTTATGAGAAATGACTTGGAGGTATAGGTGGCATATAGCAATTTAATGCTAACGTTCGCAGGCATTTGCTAAAAAGTCTTGCATCCCCTTGGGTCAAAACATGTGTGGATCTGGCTGGGACCATAAAACTTAGATGAGCTTACTTTGATCTATGTTTTATGGCCCCCAGGCCTACAAAGGCGGATTCAGGGGGTCGGGGGGTTGGGTTCGGGAAACCCACCCCCCGCTCATTGATATTTTTTTTTTAACAAGTGTCATTTTGTCATTTTGTTGCATAACTTATCATTTGTATCAATACTTTATATAAAGATAGAACTTTTCCGTAAATTACAAAATGTAAGTCATTTGCGTTATAAAGATATCACAATTTAATTTGGATTCTCGGAATTTTCGCTGACTCGGAAGAAAATCCAAAAGATTTAAATAACACATTACAGAGAAGATAAAATTGCATTATTAGATGAAACGAGGTGTTCTCCACGTTCAGATTTGTATGAAAAGCTTTAATTTAAATGTATTAACTATATTTCTTTACTTAATTTTGCATTTTTCAAAAATATATTTTTTTGATCAGTTACGCCATATATGGCTTTAATCTATTTCTTGTTTTTAGAATTTAATGAAATCAGAACTCATTGTGTAGGGTATTTCAACAAAACAAGAGGCCCATGGGCCACATCGCTCACCTGAGTAGAAATTGTTTTATTATTGAAAAGTTTAAATCCAAAAGTAGTCCCATGTCCAATCATGGCTTTGCTATTCTTGAGAAGAAGATTTTTAAAGACTTTTCCTATATATTTCTATGTAAAACTTTGGTTGGTCATTTTGGCCCCGCCCTATCCCCAGGGGTCATGATTTGAACAAACTTGAATCTACACTACCGCAGGATGCTTCTATATAAATATGATCAATTATGGCTTTGTTATTCTTGAGAAGAAGATTTTCAAAGAATTTTCCTATATATTTCTATGTAAAATTTTGGTCGGCCATTGTGGCCCCACCCTACCCCCGAGGGTCATTATTTAAACAAACTTGAATCTACACTACCTAAGGATGCTTCCATATAAGTTTCATCCTTCCTGGCACAGTGGTTCTTGAATTTAAAGAAGATTTTTAATATATTTTCATATGTATTTCTATGTAAAACTTTGGTCGGCCATTTTGGCCCCGCCCTACCCCCGGGGGTCATGATTTGAACAAACTTGAATCTACACTGCCTGAGAATGCTTTCATATAAGTTTCATCTTTCCTGGCACAGTGGTTCTTGAGAAGAAGATTTTTAAAGAATTTTCCTATATATTTCTATGTAAAACTTTGGTTGGCCATTGTGGCCCCCGCCCTACCCCCGGGGGTCATGATTTGAACAAACTTGAATCTACACTACCTGATGATGCTTCCATATAAGTGTCATCTTTCCTGGCACAGTGGTTCTTGAGAAGAAGCTTTTTAAAGAATTTTCCTATATATTTCTATGTAAAACTTTGGTCAGCCATTGTGGCCCCGTCCTACCCCTGGGGGTCATGATTTGAACAAACTTGAATCTACACTACCTGAGGATGCTTCCATATAAACATGATCAATTATGGCTTTGTTTTTCTTGAGAAGAAGATTTTTAAAGAATTTTTCCTATATATTTCTATGTAAGACTTTGGACGGCCATTGTGGCCCCGCCCTACCCCCGGGGGTCATGATTTGAACAAATTTGAATCTACACTACCTGAGGATGCTTCCAAATAAGTTTCATCTTTCCTGGCACTGTGGTTCTTGAGAAGAAGATTTTTAAAACATGCCACCAATTTTTTATTAATTCTCAATTATCTCCCCTTGAATGAGGGCGTGGCCCTTCATTTGAACAAACTTGAATCCCCTTTACCCAAGGATGCTTTGTGGCAAGTTTGGTTGAAATTGGCCCAGCGGTTCTTGAGAAGAAGTCGAAAATGTGAAAAGTTTACAGACAGACGGACGGACAGACGGACTACAGACAAAATGTGATCAGAAAAGCCCACTTGAGCCTTCGGCTCAGGTGAGCTAAAAAAGGAAAAACATTTATACTTCAATCCACATTTCAGAGTGTTCATAGCATTCCAAATGGACTTAACTTCAAAACAAACTTCATAAGCAGACAGAGGTGGTAATTAATCTCAATGTGACAGATAAAGATAATGCTTTGGATTTTCTTCAGGAGGAAAGCTAATTAATCCCAAGGGACTCATTCATTGCAGCATTCAGTTTACAAGGAACATTTTCAGAAGTTATCTCTCTTTGCCAATTTATTCTTATATAAAGTTAAGGAATCTACCCCACCACCCCAGCTCCAAACCAGAGGACATAGAAAAACAAACTTAGCATCAAAATATGTCTTTTTGCCAATTGAACTACCATACCAAATTTGAACTTAATTGGACTACAATAAAAAAAGTTATTAGGAAAAAAAACAGAAAATTTGTGGACGGAAGAATGACAGACGGACAGACAGACGGACAGACAGACAGACAGACAGAGTGATTACTATAGGGCACCCGCAAATCCTTGCGGGGCCCTAAATATTAGAACAGATCGGCTAATAAAGGAGCACAATTAATGACCACCAGAATGCCAAGTTTTGAAGGTATCGGTCTCCGAAAAATGGAAAAAAGGTGTCGATAAGGAACTCCAGCCTCCTTTTAATATCAACTTCAGGATGCTTTTAGGTAGAATCAGGGAGATTTTTAACAAAGTGATTTTCCTTGATGACCTATCACAAGATACGAACATATCTGTGTTCCATTTTTATTGAAAAAGCAGATCTTTTAAAAAATCCACAAAATTTGAGATCACCCTCCCTTTTCCATCCTGTACTTAACAAAATAAAATGTATTGCTGGGTTCGTTCTTGAACTGTTTGATTAACTATGCGAAAAATATCACTAAACCTTTTTATTTTGAAAAAATCCGTTAAGCATTAAAACGTTCATGCATGATGTGTTAAACTCTCACAATTTCCCAAATACTAATATTACAAATTTTAAGATTAAAATAAATGAAGTGTTTTTAGCCAAAAGCAAATATATAAATAAACAAATTTCTGAACTAAATTTTATATTGTGTAACTATGTATACTTATATTCAGGATTTACATATACAAATGTACTTCTTTCTAAATAAATATTACACAAAATTTGTGTTTTACGAGGGGTGATCAAAAAGTTTTCGAACTAATTGAATAACATTCAATAAAGGAATATTGTAGGGTTTCAGTGTTGAAAAATTTTCAAAGTAATCCTCTCCAATTTTATTGCACATCTGCAACCATTCTGCCAAACCGCGGATCATGTGATATAGGCGGTCACGTGACATGCTCATAAGCATTCTGTCACAGAAGCTAATTTTTTTCCAGATTCTTATATTTCTAACAATGCTGGTTATTTTTTTTTTACAACAGAAATAGTCCATTTGTCAGAAATGGCCTAATTTCGACAATAGTATGGTGGATAATGAGATTCTTTTGCAGAATGAGCATGGTGACCATCAAAATCCAAGTCTTCTGTCTTTCGAGCGTCGTTTATTTCATGTGGATAAAGTATGGATGCCTTCACTTTATCATATCTTATATGTTAAAAGTCTAAAATAAACGATATTTTAGGGATTTATATAATTACATTATTGTAAAGATATTCATTTATTTTTCCGACTGTAATTTGGCGATCTTTCATATTAAATTGTTTAACAAATTTAAAAACACTCTCTTTCCCAGTGTGCTTTCACTGGGCAACAAGAACAAACATCATTTTTAAACATCTACCTTCCTTCACCTAAACATTCAATCTAATTAATGACAGAACATCTGACAATTCTTTTTTCTTGTCACAAGTGATCTACCTTATGACGTCATTTTCACATTGTGACGTCACAAACATGATGCAAAACGTTTCACTACATATGCTATATATAGAACATGTGTATGAATCAAATTTCATTCTGATCTAAATTGTGGTTTTGCAAATATATAGTTCGCGAACTTTTTGTTCACCCCTCGTATACTACAAGTAACTAATATAATCTAAGATATTTTTGTTAATATTTTATTCTA